AAGAGTGATCCAGGGAAGTTCACAATACCATGTTCCATCCAAGGTGTTGAGTTCCATCGTGCCCTATGTGACACAGGATCTGGAGTTAGCATCTTACCCAAGCTTATGGCAGACCATCTAGGTATGAAGATAGAGCCTTCTGAAGAAACTTTCATCTTTGTGGATTGTTCTCAGCAAAGCTCTGGAGGCATCGTTCGCAACCTTGAGGTACAGAAAACCCTAATTCCTATAGACTTTCATGTCCTCTCCAACAAGCTCAACTTCAAGACTTCTCTACTACTTGGAAGAGCCTTCTTAGCCACAGTTGGAGCTGTTTGTGACCTACAAACCAACAAGCTCTGCCTAACCCTCATCAACCCTTCCATCCATTACAACCCTGTTCCAATCATCAAGTTTCCAAGATCAGCAAGCTCAACACTCGTAGCCACCTGTTTATGTGCCCACGAGTATGATTCTATGGGAGAGTATGAAACCGAAGAAGCAGTATCGACCGATGACAACCCTTCTCCATCGACCGATACCGTTGCAGACCCATCGACCGACAAAACTACCTGGTCATCGATCGATAGGGTATTCCAACAGATTGAAGACGAGTTCCCAGACGCCGATTTCAGCGCAGATGAGTGGGAAAACGATCATTACAGGCCAGAGCTCGTTAGCATCACCACTCAGGAGGAGTATGATGAAGATTATGAGGAGGAACGAGCCATAGAGTACTGATTTCTTCGAGAAGATGCAGAACACCCTCCTATCCCGACCTTCCTCCGACGAGTATCGACCGATATGACCCCTAGTCCATCGATCGATATGCCCCAACCCAGATCGCTCAAACGACGTTTTGAATCAACGAGCGACGAACCCTACTGCGCACAAGTATATGTCCCCCACGAACCACGAGACGGAGATTACTCGATTGGAAGTTGGGCCAGCAATTATCATGAAAGTTTTGCAGTGGATACATCACCACTACAACCCGCGATCCAACCCGATGCAGTCCTATCGACCGATATGGAGCACTCTCCATCGATCGATATCAATCTCCACCAACCAAACAATCCTACCACGACACCATCTGAGGTAAAAACACCTATATTTGATTTAACTTCACTAATATCGGATGAGTTTGGCATTTTCAGGGACTCGGATGGTCATGCACGAGCAATAGATGGGAGAATCATTCCAATCTCCACATAAGATGTTGCAGACATCCTTCAGATGGCCAATGGACCTATCATCGAAAACGATCCGCACCAAAGAAAACGGCCATCGACCGATGCATAGAGACTCGCATCGATCGATATGCACCGAGAATATGGGAAGAGAGCCTTCAACAATGGAGTTCGTCGTTTCTTTTGGGAAAAGAAAGATGAATATGGAGTCTACAGAGATGAATCTGGCCATGTAAGAGCAGTAAACAGAGACATCATCCATGTTACCAAAGAAGACATGGGAAACTTGTTGAAGAGAGCCTCATTATTTGGACGCTCTTGTTTCTGTCTACCAGAGTATGCTGATCAATATGCTAAGGAGTTCCATATGGCAAGCTCTACACACATGCATAAGTCACCTATATGCTAGACGGAAGAACCGGAGATCACAATTAGGAGATAGCAGGCATGCAACATGAACATGAGAAAGACCTATCAAGACTTCAAGGTGAACTACTATGGAATACCACCAGAAATGACTTAGCACGATATGAAAAAGAAGCCCTACAAGAAGAAGTCAACACCTTGCGCGCACAACTGAGATCTCAGACACAGTCATCGACCGATACAGATCCCCCTGCATCGATCGATACACCCATCCATAACCCAATCGAACACCACTTCCAGAAGCTATCGATCGATGACAAACCCAGTCCATCGATCGATACCCGTGCTCAAGAATTCTGTACCAGAGAAGAACTAGAAGCAGCCACAAGAGATATCTAAAAATCTATTGAGTTTTGTGGAGACGAAAATTACAGATTACTGGACAGGTATTGGTTCCCAGTACACAGTGATGTCAAAGGATTATAGTGCACAGTGGAGGATATTCAGAAGGAGGTAGAAGATATCCAAAGACAGCTCGCCAGCCGACCTGAACCATCCCCATCGATCGATGACACCCACCACACATCGATCGATGTGCAACCTCCAGAATCGACCGACGAGACCACACACCACGACACCATGCAGCGGACTACAGAATACATCTACAGCATGCTTGGACACCATCAGTATAGCCTTGCCATCTTAGAGGAATGGTTGGAATGGATCCAATCTGAAGTTTATGGTTTGAAGACTAGTATGACCTGAAGCAAGAAAGCCACAAGAAGCTTTTTAACCTCATGGTTTGAAGAATCACAAGACAAGGAGGATACTTGTTTGCCAACAAGTACCTGCAACCCACCTCACTAGCCACCATAATTCCATAGTCAAGCTAACTGACTTTAACCAAGCGCTGAGTGGGAGGCAACCCACTGTTAGGTATTTTATTTCTTTATTTTATTTTTACTTATTACTTTCGTTTTAATTTGTTTTTAGGAAGATAGATACACAATCACTACCTATCGACCGATACAAACCAGTCGATATCGCTCGACACATACCTACACGCATCGATCGACGATGGCGACTCACCATCGATCGATATCCATATCGGTCAGGTATATCGTTCACCACTTCGATATCAGTTACACATTTAATTTTTCTAATGCTCTTACTCTGACTGATTATACACTGAGGATAGTGTATGATTTAAGTCTGGGAGGAGATGACTACTGATGCTATTTTACCTCTTTTTGATCTTATTTATAAAGTTTTCAAAAATTGGTTTTATTGAGTCAAGAAAGGGAAATTTTTTCAAAAAGTCTTACTTTATATCTTACCACTCTTTAGCACCATTCTTAGATTTGTTGATTGCAGAAAGTACTATAGATGCTAAAGTGGATCACCGATCACCTATGACAACACTTTCATGATTGTCTGCACGAACCAAAGCTGATTTCCAACCTAACCTAACATCTACTGCTTGTCTTGGGGCTTGGTATACAAGAGATCGGAATCCTCCTGCAAGTCTTGAAGGTAATAGTCTCAAAAATTTTGGTTTCCTTCTCTCCTCCCTTCGGCATCCCACAAAGAGAAAAAGAAAAAGACTGAGATGATTTCCTGAGAGGCAGAGGGAGAGGTACATTACCTATGACCCCACTATTCTAAATCAAAGGAATGATCAAAGCGAGGGAGAGGTACATTACCTATGACCCCATTATTCGCTTATACTTGTCAAGAATATAAAGATCAATAAGATGAACATTAGTTGTTCATTGGGATTGATATAAGAGAGAGAGATATTTGAATTCAGAGAAGGGGGATAAAGAGAGAAAGGGAACCAGGATGAGAATGCCTGAAACTTGTTTGAGTTGAATCCATGTGTTCCTTGATCGATACTCCCAAGGTAAAGCCTACACCTTTATTTTTATGCATAAATGAAATCAGTAGAGGGGATAAACAGACAAGGAATGTTTAAGTTGATTAGCTAGATGTATTTGGTTGCTAAGCTAGGATATTGTATAAGGTACTTCTGTAGTTGATAAATATGAGATGTGGCTTGCAAAAGAGTAAAAGGTGATGATTTTAAAGTTGAGATTTTGATTGATTCCCTGCTGTTTTTAAACTTCTTTCAAAGACTAACTTAAGGTTTGCTTGAGGACAAGCAAAAGGTCAAGTCTAGGGGAGTTGATATACCATGATTTTGACCCGTTTTTGGTCATGGTATTGATATGTTTTTATGATAATTATCTATGTTTTGGAGTCTATTAGGTATGTTTTCAGGTTCAAGAGCATTTTGTTGTAAAGTGATGATTTAGGTGCCTTATGGAGCTTTAAGGATAGTTTTCCAAGATGACTATGAAGATCCGACAATGAGAGACACATATCGATCGATACACACCTTGTGTAATCGATCGATGACGCTTCCGTAGAAGTTGAAGTCGAGATACTCCATCGATCGATGTACACCATGTACCATCGATCGATACAAAGCGTGATGAGCAATATTTACTTGGCCGACTTGAAGCCCAAGTTCTCACCAAATTACAAGATTGCCCGTGACGAGTTTTTAACCTAATTGTACTCATATTTATAGTTATGCCTATGAGCCCTAGAAAGACAATCAGAAAAGTATTGAGTTTTATCTAAGTTTTTGTATTCTATTCTATACTTAGCAATAAAGTATTTTCTTTTCATCTTATTCTTTTGCTATGAATCTCTTGGCTATGTCTGAATAGATTCATTTGTTAGATTTAGGGTTCAAATAGTTATGAGGGATTAGCCCCAACTATGGAGTGAGTTATTATATTCATTATCCAAATGAACCCTAATGCTTACTCTAGATTTGCTACCTAGAGGTATGATTATGGAGTGACTAATCTAATAGTCATTATCTTGAAATCATTTGGCTAAGCTCAGACTCTATTAGGCACGTGCGATAGGAGGTTTAATAGAAATTCTCGGGCGAACACAGTTTCAATTCGATCCAATGCTATATCGATCGATACTCCTATAGAGTTATCGATTGACGGAAAACATATCGATCGACACTGCGATAGCAACATCGATCGACACTGTCGGCAATCAGATCAATGGACGAGTCTAATAGCGACAACTATAGATTTGTCTAAGGATTGAAGTTCTCATATATTTGCAAGCAATTCGTTAAGACATCCATAGATTTATAATCCTGATTTTCTGAATAGTAACCCTGAATCTAACTACTTTCTTTTATTGTTTTAAAACCCAAAAACCATTTTCCTTAGAAACTTACCATTGCTACCAATTTTTATTTATTGTTTTAAACCTAATCAACCTAGCTCAATCACTTATGATTATATCTTTTGTGACTCTAGTTCCTCGTGGATTCGATCCCTAAGGACTACGATTGAACCTCTTATTTGAGAGAGTAATTCACTCCTTAGGGTTAAACATTTGAGTGATATCAAAGGTCATGTTCAAGTTTAATTAGCCACTCTTGGTGCACTTGGGTTCATCGGATTCAAGGCCATCAGAAGCTCTTCTTACCTTATCACATGCAGGACCTTCAACGCTTACATAAGCACCAGCTCCACAGCTTCCATCCTTCAAAACATCATCAGCTGCTTCCGCAATAACCTCATCTTCCAAGCTTGCATTGGGAGCATCAGGTGGTAGTATCTTTGTGACAGTTAAGGAATGAATCCTTCCTGTCAAGTTATGGTCCGAGATCTTGACAATGAATTTGAAACTCTTTCCTATTCCATCAAGTAAAGCTTGAGGAGCTGGGACGCAATGATCAGCTCATACGTCCTCATTAGCCTATAATTGAATTCGACTCTTTATAAGTAAAAATTATTGGCGCTATTTATCAGTAGCTCAGAAATTACCTCAAAATAGCAGGCCACTAATTCTGATGCAGGCTTCCCTGTCAGCACTTTGCCAGCATCACCAAGAACCACGAAAACTGCTTGCTCACTCTTGTCGTACACAGAAATCTTGGTGAGGTATCTTCAATGAAATAAAATTAGATATGTTTGTCGGCCAAAAACAGAGAATCAAACTATGTGAGAGGCATATACTGAGGAACGCCTGGGACTTTTCTCTTCTCACACTTGTTATTGTTACAAAACAAAGAGTTAGGTCCTTTGACAGCCTTACTATTACACGCATCACATGAAATGTAATACCAAGGTGATTCATGGACTACATCGTCTTTAGTAGCTGTGCATTCAAACCAAGCCACCTATCCATTGTGAAAAATAAACTAAAATCCATAAACACATAAGCATATCTGAAGGAATTTGATTAACAATTACTCTTGTACCTTAGCTGATTCATGCTTAATGTAGGCGAATATCTCCTTTAGGCTCAGCGCCTCAGGCTTAGTCACAATCTCAGCGTCAATCTTATTGGCAATATCAGCATTAGAGCTCAACCTGAAATCAGTGTTAAGTCATCAGTAAGTTAAAAGCGAGTTACATGAGACGTTGGCAAAAGGCATAGAATTATATCTCAATACGAAGGTGCATATCATCCTAGATAGTCCCTAGTAGGTTCAACATCTGAGTCCAAAAGACTCGAGATAATGCCATAGAGGTGAGACAAAGTGTTCCTGATAACAACATGTCAATTAGTTAACACCCTAAAATTATGTAAACGACACAATAGAATTAAAAAATAGAATACTGCTGTCCTAAATTACAAATGACACAGACGGCTACTAATAATAAATTGAATCCAATCAGCTAAGGTGACATACTAATGTATCATTTCATCTTTGCAATTCAAACACTAAAACACGGCTGCTTAAAACAAATGGAACTTAGAGCTTAACATAAACAAAAATAGTGGTCTAAAACTAAGCGTTTAATGACAAATGACTTATATATGTAAACAAAACAATAGAGTGCAAAAATAGAATAATATTGTCGTAAATGACAAAACGACACAGTCAACTACTAATAATAAATTGCATCAAATCAGTTAACGTGATATACTAATGTATCATTTCATCTTAGCAATCCCAACACCAAAACTCGGCTGTTTTAAACCAATGGACCATAGTTTTTAACATAAACACAAATGGTGGCCTCAACTTATCCTCTGTAATACTAACCTCCAAGACGTTTAGGGTTCAGAGTTGTGACCAGTAGGACGCTTGGTTTGCTTCCAGAGGACTTAAATTTTTGGCAGAACTCGGATGCATCCTTGTCCCATAGATAAAGCTTCACCACTGGACCACTGCACAAGTTAAAAGCATTGGTTAATGATGACAAACACCGGATGGTTTACAATGAAAGATAACTCAGAGTAACAATGAAAGAAAGGGCGAGCTTACTCATGTGTCTGAACATGAACACAGAGATGACGCTTTTCTGCAATGTCAACTTCATCAAGGAAAGTATGCTCAGTGATTGTCTGATCGTTCACAAGCTTCATATGTCCAAGGTGATCTGACATACGACAAATAATACATCAGACATTAAAATTTTAATCACCCAACTTCCCAAGCGATTATGTAAGAACTTTATTGGATGTTTTCAAATTATAAAAACTCTCCTTATGTAACATAGGTCGGTTTAGGAGATTAGTTATAAGTAAATACTTAAGTGCATACTACTTCCATTGTGAACCGAAACTTACCATAGAGATCTCCCTTGGCGTCACAGTTCACCTGAAACTCCTCAACACTACGTAACCTGAACCTATCCTCCTCAATGGGAACATGATGGTTTTGAAGACTCGATAACTCCGAGTTCCAGGAGAATGTCACCGTGGCTTGATGATCAGCAACCCGATACAGATCTTTGTTCCTGGATCCAAAGAATTTGGTCAGGTTGTAAATGGAACCCGCGACCAAATCATATGTCCCAACCCTTCCTGCTGGTACAAAACATTTGATAACTGACCCCTGTAATTTATTTAAAACGTAAGATTAGCGAAAATAGCATACCAATCGAGCAATAGTTAAGTTTTAGGGAAAAAAAGATGGACTTATCTAGTGAAATTTCTCAAGCTATTTAGGGTAAACCAGTTGAGAAAAATAAAACCAACAAAAGCTAAGACCCTCCTTTAGTAATACATATGGTTAAGCCTACGAGAGTTCTTCCCAATGGCTTGTAACAGACAAAGAATTGAAAGATGGAATATAACAGCAAATCTGTTTTATACGTTAACAAAAGTGAGATAAAGCAGACAATTATACGCAACATATTTGTCCGTATTACTTAGTTTTCAGCACCAAGGGTTTGAAATACTAATTATTTGCAGAATACATACTAATCGAGAAATATTTAAAAATTAGAAAAAAATAATAGCAGAGTTTTAAAATGGAAGATTATCAAAATTATCATATTAATCGAGCATTAGCTAAGTATTAGGAAAAATAATAGAAGTCCTACACGTACCTCTTCGTCGATAAGGAGCATCTCCTGTCCGATGAGGGTTTTGGATTTCGGATTTATCGCCTCCCAGAAATGGATCAGGCGAAACCTCATAGACGCTTCATGTGGTCCAAGAGTAACATCTCTGAAAAATATCACTTGGTCGGCAATGGTGGGTAGGCGAGCCGTAGCACTTTTTTCTGTTGCCGGTGTGGGCTTCTCAACAGGAGCCTTCCCATGAGGCTTGATGACAATTGCGCCGGAAGCAGACGACTTGCCCTTTTGCTGAGCAGTGGCGTTGGATGAGAGAATATTTTTGTTGGTCTTCTCGCCGGAAGAGACAGTAGACATCGCTTTGGGTTCCATCGGAAAGTTCGTGAGAGAGAGTAGAGGGAGTAATAAGTTTAATCGATAGGATAACAAAAACAAAGGGGGGAGATCTATAAATAAAAAATTGGGGAGGAAGGTGAAGAGAGAAATCCATTGAATGAGATGAACTGAAGGATTGAAGTAGCTAATTGATTAGCACAGGAGTGGGGATTAATGGTGAAAACTGAAGAGAAGAGATCTCATGAGAGGAAGTCGAAAAATTAGAGGAGGATCTGGAAACTCTGCTTCTTCTGCTGACAGAAGCAAAACCCGTATTTGACAAAACCAAACCTAACATCCTAATTTATTTCAGAACCAAAATCAAATGGCAAACCAAAGTAGACGTGGAGGTTTGAAACAATACTATTGGTTAAATAAAACTGTCAATGTGGACACTGTAATATGCCTTGAATTAGCCCTTTTATGGTAATAGATAAGACCTTATAAAAATAATTGTGTATTTTGGAGGATCATTACCACATATAATTTTATCCAACAAAGTTACTGTGTATATGGAGATTCCCTATTAATTTTTTTTTTTTTTTTAATGTTTCAGAGAAGAACTCAATTATCACCACGTTCGGTCCATGGCAGAAGTAAAGTAATCAATTGCTTAAGGTCCATATCATATTAAGGTTTTTTAGCTTAAGAAAAATAGTCAAGTTTTTTTAAATTTTGTTAGCTTAATGGAAAACGACCCATTTTTTTTAGTTTGAATGGGACCTTTAATAGTCATGGTCCGTCCCAGATTATCACCAATTATTATGTCAAGTATGATCTAGACCACGAGATGAAGTTTTAATTACTGATGATTTGCCTATTGCTGGAAATAGTAATCCCTTAAAGATATTTATTACAACTTTTATATTTACAAGGCCTTATTAAAAAAATGTAAAATATTATATATTTAGTTTTATGTTTTTTATGTTTCAGAGAGAAACACAAATATCACCAATGATTGTGTCAAATATGGTTCAGACAAGCATGAATTTTTAATTACTCGCGATTTGCCTATTGCTGGAAATAGAAATTTCTTTCAAGTATTTATGAAAACTTTAATGTTTATAACAACCTTATAAAATCATTGTACATGATTTATTACTAGCTTTATGTTTTTATGTTTCAAAGAGGAACACAAATATTACCATTTATTATGTTACACATGATTCAGATACAAGATGATATTTCTAATACTCATGATTCGCATACTGGAAATAGTAATGCATTTAAGGTACTTTTCAAAACGCTTACTTCAAGTTCATAATTATAAGGTTTTAGAAATTGTTTTAGAAATTATAATTAATGGAGTACTACACGAATATCGTTATTTTTTGAAGTCTTAAAAATTTTTAAATAAAGATTTGGTTTATAATGCTTTATAAAAGGAAATATATCCATGTTTAATTTTGTAGAGAGGGAAACAAACACATCCTGAGACTGAATGGAACAACATCATAGAGTTAACGAAGTCTCTGGTATACAACATACTCGTACAAGAGATAGTCTTATTTCTCCTTCAAATGGTCTTGTTAGCAATAAGGTACATATAACTTTCTTTAATATAAATATATAGGAGTTTAATCAATGTCTTATAATGGGTTATAACTTCCTTTTTTAATGTACATGTTTCATATTTTTTGTTTTAGAAAGGATTGAACTCGATAGGACTTGTTATATATGGATCTGAATAGTTAAAATTGTCATCTTTGTCTAGTAGACGTGGTAAAGAAATTTTGGGAAAAGATTCACATTCCTATTCAGAAATCTTGTCTCCAATTTGTTTTACAAACTAATGTGATGATGATGATTTGTCCTGCGGAAAGTTTTTCAAGGATAAAAAGGAAATGAGCACAAAGTTGAGGTTGCTCGTAGCTAGTCAAAGCTCTGAGTTCCACATAGAATATTCAGACAAAAATGTTATATTCTTAGTTTTTTTGTTAAAAGATCCACTCGGAGTTCTCATGCAAAATAAGTTAAAGGATCTCCAAGTTTTGTTGTGCACCATTATGTATGTAAACATACATGTGACACTTCTCTGAGAAGTGTTAGCCATCGGCAAGCTACTGCAAAACTGTTGGGAAGTATGGTCAATCATTATGAAGGAGGAAAAACTGGGCTGAGGCCTAAACAGATCATAGAGAAAGCTACAAAATATCATGGTCTTGTGATTTCATATTCAAAGGCTTGGAGGTGTCAAGAAAACGTCCAAGATCTAGCTAGAAGTACTCCTGATGACAGTTATGAAGCTTTGTCCAGCTGGTTTTACATGTTAAAAGAAAAGAATCCAGGTTTTGTGACTTTTTCAAATCTTAGATCCACCAAATTGAACGATATCTGGTGATCAAATCCGACGAGATTCAACGATGCTGACTAGTTCTTCGGAAATATTCGATGACGCTGACTAGTACTCCGGCTAGGTTCGACGACACTGACGAGTTGTCTGGCAAGATTTGAAAAAGACTACAAGCTAAAACAAACAAGACGATCTTTG